CTTCAATCACCGCATAGTTTTTAGCTCTTTGAAGTCTAGTAAGATCCGCTCGAAAGTGGAATTTCTTGTTGGGGTTAGTTTTATTCGAACGCAAATATAATTGGGCTTCTTCACAATCTTCGAAAACCATCTTTAAAGGGCGTGGTGCATTGGGTTTGGGAATACCCAAACGAAAAATCTTTTTTGGTTTTGGAAACTTACCCAAAGGCTCAACAATAGAGACAACTTGTTTTAGATCGTCCATAACCTTGACTTCGACTGAATTAGCAACGGATTCAGGTATGTTATACAAAATAACATTTTTGCTGCGTTCATTTCGATCACAGATTTCCCGAGCTACGTCATCGATGTTATTGGTAGCTTCGTTGTTTGGAGCTGACTTTCTAATTTCATTAATTTCAGTTTGCAATCTATGCATATTGTTTTCGATCTCGGACATTCTGTTGTTGACTAAAACAAGTTTACTATCTATAATTTGTGACATTTCAATCATAATATCAGCCTTAAATTTTAGAAACTGCTTCTCAATTATGTTTTCAATAGCAGATAGTGATAGAGTGATGGGTGTTGACGAAGCGTTGGACAAGGAACAAGCTTTGCATACCCAAGATGCATCGGAGTAAGCGTCAGGCACATCTTCAGTGTAACATTTGATGTGGTAGTATTTATTACAAACACTACATTTAAGATGGGGTGTAGATGGCGTTACACCAGAACTACATATTGTGCAGTAAGCCGGCATGATTGAAATATAAATAAATCGGTAAAGGAAACACAAATTTTAAAGGGATAAACAGGGATACAATTCTTCGCACCTATAGGGCCTATTATGGTGACTTATAACGAGACAAACTAGGTAGACCTCGGAATGGAAAAGGTAAAGTAAATGAGGTGAGTAATTAACTGACAACAAAAAAAAAAAACAACTAATAGAGGTACGAAAAACTCACTGATAAGATAAGCGTGCCAGCAGCAACTACTAAAGTTGTGGAAATCTCAGCCAGGATACACAGGAGCAAGCCAAAAATTGCACAAATGGCAAAGTGCATAGGATTCCTGTCACACACCAAAAATCACAAAAATTCACGTAGAAATACCTTCAAAAAATGATAATGTTCAAGAGCGACATAAAATGCCGACTGTTTAGTTCTTTAACTCTCTCTTTCTTTTGATGAATCAAATTCGCATAATCGAAGAACGAAAAAAAAATTAACGGAACATTATTTCGACAGATCTCTCCTCTACAATAAAAAAATCCAGCTTATCCGAAACATTATGAAATTTGATTATGCTAATTTATATATTTTTTGAGAACACTTATAAGTTAAAATAAAGATTTCAAAGGAGTTTTCCCGTAGCAAAATTTTGTGATAACGTCATTAACATTTTCGCAAGGACACGTATATCTATCATTTTGGATAAGTACATGTAATACTATTGATAACAGTACTGTATTCCCAAGTTTTCTGGAAAATTGAGTGCGCCGTTCCTGATTTAATAAATAAAATAAATTGGCTCATTCATTACTGTTTATGAGTCAGCTGTATAACCAACTCAAAAACTTTGCAATGATAAAGGTGCTATACCGATGAGATCAAAAAGAGGTCGATGCTGCAGTCTACAATTCATTTTAGAAATGCCTACAAAATTTTACGAATCAATGTAACATTATAATTACTGGTTCGAAGCAACTATTTACCGCGTGTTAGATTCATTCTGAAAGGGATATATACGATTTTGTTAATTATACAATAAGTTTCTACATTTCGACCGACTGTTGGGCTTCTCACACTTTTACAGCAAAGCTTTTTACACGAGACGTTGGTTCTTGTTATCATGAAGTGTTACCAAGAGGGTTTTAGGAAGCTATTAGGGTGGTCAAGGGGACCACTAAAAACCATATGTCTTGCAGCAATGTCGTTTCTTAGAAGATCAGTTTTATATTACCCCCTACGTGCATTGCCATGATCGACTTTCAGGAGTTGAGGGATGTTCACCAGATGTATTACAAATTCACTCATGTAGTTGTTATCTTATTTTCACATTGAAACTTGGGACCTATTCAGATGTATTATTATCATATCATGCAGTATCACTCTGTAAATGTAATATATAAAATTCTCGTGTCACAGTGTTTGTAATCAAACGGTTTGACCGATTTTTATGATTTTTTTTGAGAACAATTTAAATGCACACTAGTTTTAATGAAATGTGAAATAAGTCACAGCATTATTAAAAACATTTCCGCACCGAAGAAACTATTTCAGCATTTGTAAAACTGAAAGGGCAATAAATAAAATAATGGCAGATTATTTTTTCTATTTGCGCAATAAATAATGCAATTTAGAATTATTTAATTAAATTTTTTCAAATGTTCCGTTAATTACTAAAGTGGGCATTACACTCCCACTCTTTAAAAGACGTGTCATGTGCCTCATTTCGCGCCAGTTCGGCAGGGAAGGAATCCGCCCTTCTAAAGCCAAAAAAGCATTAATTATATTATTCAATAAATTAATAATGTTTAATAATTGAGTTTTTTGATGAAAGAATGCTTATTTTAAGTTTTTTTGTTAATTTTTTCAAAACTTTTAATTTGTTTGGCTACTTTTTTTGCTATGAATATCTTTTGTTTTCGTTAATTTTCACATTCATAAAATACATTTTAATACAGCAGGTCTATTTTTGTTTGTTATTTTTTATACAGTTTCAATAATGCACGCAGTACAGAAAATCATTGCCCAAAACAATAATTTTATTATACCAATTTGCACTTAATATAATGCACAAAATGCAAAAACTTATGGCGCAACATAGTAAAGCACAAATGTTATTGCGCATAGTATAAAATTTAATGCACAAAGTATTAAAAATAATGCACACTTAATTACGACCCATTTTTTTTGTATATTCGGGATGTCTGAGAATAGGTTGCCAACTATTTTTCATACCCCTAAGTGATAAGGGTGGCCCACCCTAAAAAATTTTTGTTTATTTTTTGGACAAAATTTTTCATTTTTATTTTTTTAAGATTTGGCATCAAAAAATACATGTAACCCTAAATTTTGACCCTTCTACGACCAACTCCCATTTATATGCAAGGTCCCTTTATAGTCACTATTAAGTAACCTTGATCTATATGATAAAAATAAATTGCTGTTCCTGTTAGTCTCCCTAAAACTCAAAAACGGCTTGACGGATTTGAACAATCTTTCTTTTATTTTGTTCACTATATTATGGGGATGGTTTATAAATAAAAAAATTGGCCTAAAGAGTTTAGACAGTACTTCCCTCGCTGTCGGATACGTGACGACTGCATGCCTATTATGTTTTTTTTCGCAGTAGATTTCAAAGCATTCGGTTTTGTAGTTTCTGAGTAAATCAACAAAATAAATTTACACAGTCATTAATTTTTTTGAGTCACCCTGTATATGCAAATCCAAAAAATATTAATGGAATGATAAATTACAAGTACAGATTCATCATATTTTGTACATTTTAGAGAGGACATATTCGGCAAACTTTTGAGCTGACGTTATCAATTTTTCAAATATATTTTGACTAAAAATTTATTATGCTCTTTATAACCTTAAAATATCTACAAGATTTCAAAGCATTCGGTTTAGCAGATTCAAAATTAAATTGCAAAATGTTTCATTGTTTTGATTTTTTTTCCAAAAATCTGGACGTTTCGGGTAAAAACTTAATTCGGAATCATAAACTACATGTGTAGGACTATGTTATTTTGTACAATTTAAAACCCAATTTGGTTTTGCAGATTCAAAATTAAAATGCAAAATGTTTTATATAGAATTTTGATGTTTTCTCCAAAAATCTGGCTGTTGCGGGTTGCGGGTAAAACTCAACACGCATTCATAGACTACACATGTTATTTTATACAATTTAAAAACTCATTTATTATGTAAAATTTTGAGATGGCGTTGTCATATTGTTGGTGAGGATTAATTAGACAAAGGTTGGTTAGAGTTTTATAATCTACGTGACAGTCACAGTACACGTATAAAATTTGACAACATTCGGTCCAGTAGTTTCGGATATTATCTGTCTAACAAAAATCAACACCAGCGGACAAACAGACACACAGACACACAGACGGAAGCGGGGTACCTATGTTTTTGTACTTTTGGAGTCATACCTCATCTAGAAAATATGAAAGCAACAGTCGCCCGATGGACTTGACTACAATACTTCCTTTACTTATGATTGCCTTAAAAAACGGGAAAGGAAATTTGACTAATCTGAATTGAACATTTAATTTGTCAATTTATGTCAACTTTTATCTTTTTGACAATACTAGTGGCAGTTTTTTAACTTAAATTCTAAAAAGCCGTTTCAAACTATAAAAAATTAAAAAAACCTGACAACATTTTTCATGACATTTCCCTTTTTTTTGAAGCTAACCCTACGCTCGGGAACTAAAATGGTGATTCTCAAAATCCCAAAAACTACGCTTGCAACCTCAATTTTCAAGCTATTTAGTAAAATAACATTTTAAATGGTTAATAAATTACTGCGAAAGTAATTTGTTAACAACGAAAACGCAAACTGGATTCAGGGTAGATGGGGGACGTATATGAAAGTGTTCATTCTCAAGAAAATTGGAATATCTTGGCAACATTGCAATCGGAATTTCGAAATAAACATGTTTATAAAAGGTCAGAGATCAATCAGAATATTATGTAAAAATGTAAAGGTTTTGGTAAATGGTTCTCAAAGAAACATACAATTACGATGTACAACCTGTGTTTTTGATTTTTTTTTCTGTTTCTAATAATTAATGAAATATCGAGGAATGTTTACTTAGGGACACAGCTGTATACAATTCGGAGAAAAGAATTAGAGGGGGGTTGACTGCCAATACTGCCACTTTTTATTGGCCAGAAATCTTCTTATGGTTCTCTCAGGATAAGTGGGGGGAGCTTGGAGCAACGGCTGCTCGGTCGGCACACAAGTTTTCGACATTCAATTCTGCGTCGGTCGTTCACAGTTAAGCACGCGTTCTTAGTTCATCGTGCACGGGTTTTGTTGTGTTATTATTGTATTATTTATTCTGTAAAAATATCATAATCGCGTTAAACTAAAGTGTACCCTCTGATCATCCAAGACGTCGCCGGCAAGATACGACAGCCACGGTACAGGTAGGATTTTATTCTCATTTATGCGATTTCACATAAGAGCACGATGTGATCGACTTGCACACATAGACCAATATTTGTGCGACATTACCTTTTGCTGATACGATGTTCTTAATTCGGGGTGATTTAGAACAGAAATTCTCAGAAACAGGCAGCCATTGACTGCTGTGCGAACGTAAGTTTAACATTATCAGTGGCGTGGCGTATTGTTAATAGAATGGATCAATTTGAATTAATTCATTTTAAATTTGTAAACAATATACACTTCATTTATCGCTTAACCACTTTATTCTTTGGTAGTCGAACATGGCCTTGGCCAAACGACAGTTTCAAAGCAACGAAGACGAAAAAAGTAACTCTAGACTCAACCTGTCTGAATTACGTTATGCGTGTACATGGATTATGCTGTTCACAAATGATTTTAGCCACAGAAATGGTTGAGAAGTAAAGTAACCAATGTTGCCAAGTCACGCAATTTTATTTTAGAAACAAACTAAAATATACAGTGGAATTCTGTTATAACGACAGAAAAGGGACTGTTGTAAAATTGACATTATAGCCGAACTGTCGTTATCGCAAATCTTTTTACCCCGACGTTATCACACTGTAAAAAATGACATCCACTCAGTAGATCTTGTTTTTAATGAATTGTAAAAGAAGAAATATGCCATACATATTTATTTATTTATTTATCTATTAATTATACCAGTTCTAATTTATTGTATGGGGTACTTGTTAAACCTGTAGCTTTTTGAGCTGTTTTTTATAGGAATTTATCTGAATATCAAACTCTTCCTTTTTAGCTTCAATGTACATAAATTATAGATAAAAAACATTAACAATTAATACAAAAAATACCGTCCACGGTTAATTTATATATTTTACATAATTTCTTCTTAAACTGTACAATTCACACATATATTTAATGTAATATGCTGCGTCCCGTGCAAAAAAAAAAAATTACCGCCCCATTGTTTTGGAACTCCATACTTTTTGATGTAAATATATAATTTAACATAACTTCAGATGTACCTCCTCGATTTTATGCGATAAACTATAAAAAAAATCAGATTTTTTTCCTAATAGTAAAACACCTTTCAGATATGTTTTTTATTCATTTATTAACAGCTATAAACTAAAGCTTTTGGTAGTTTTAAAAACATCAATTATTATACATAAGATAAAATACAGCAAAATTGAACGCCTCGGATTATTACATAATAGGAGAATAACAAAGATTAAATAAATAAAAAAAATTAAATTTCCACAGTTACGTATAACAGCTAATGAAAACAAAAAAATTACAACAAAATATGATAAATTAAGTATACGGCAATATCTACTAAATGGTTCTAATTAATAACATCAGAGAGAGCACTGTTATTAAAAATCAACTCTTCGAGATTTTCTTGCAGCAAAATCTTCAATTACTTTTGATACATCTAATCTCTGACAAATATCTTTCAATTTATATACATAATTGCAAGATTTATCAGTCTATCCTGCGACATAGTAGATCTTAAATAATTTTTTACTAATTTTAGTTTGGAGAAACTTATTTCCCCCGATGCTACTGTCACAGGCAATGTTAATAATATTCTAAGAGATATAGCCATATTTGGAAAACAAAAGATTAGATCATTTTTTATAATACAATTTAGTATATTTTGGGGGGCGTGAGAAGTTGGCATAATAACCATAAAAGATAAAATTTCATTATACAATTCACCAGGATCAATATCTCTTGAACAACTTCTCCATCAATTTGCCGCAAAAATATGTCAATAATAATAATAATAATAATGGTTTATTTTCCAACAGGTGTAATCACCCAATTACAGGAAAAAGAAATAATAATTGTAAACGTATGATTCCAGACTAAACTAAAAAAATTATTCTACAAAACTAAAATATAATTAAAACTAAGAACAGAAAAGTAACAAAAAAAGTAACATATGCTTAGGATAAAGAATTTTGCGTCATACTACGAACTGTTTGGAAAGAGTCAAAAAATAGATCTACACTATTACAGTAATTATTCGCGTTGGAGATCTGTACTTGAATTCAATAGCATTTCTTTTTCCTTTTTTAATAAAACAAATCTTTCTTCTATTGAAACTCGATAATATTTTTTTTGTTTTGATGCCATTTTCCATTTTTAAGTAATTTATGCTTTTTACATTGAGCGTCATTCATCCATATTTGACATAATGAATTACTTTTGAACATTTCAGTTAAAGGCAATTTCAAGTTGTACTGATAATGAATTTTTTTGTAAACACCCTCAAATATTTTACCAATTATTGGGGTATGATTTGAATATGATTTATTTATTATAAGTTGTTCACGAAGAACCGAGAATAATTATATAGAGACGACACTAACCTGGTGTATCCTGTTGGCAGCGGGCGGGAGCCCCTGCTTCTTCAGATTAGACTGTAATTTTTGAGAAATACGATGACACTACGAGGCAGAAAATAACCGTTAGTTCAACATGTTCAACACTTTTTTTTCCAGTGGCGTAGCTTTTTTAACTCATTTGCGTCTGCGCCGGTAGATGGCGTACTAAATGTACGAACATAAGCAATTCTTGACAATTTGTTAATGAGGATCGTGTAATGAGGGTTTTCTCAGATTCCTTACATTTAAATTTATCTAAACATTTTTTCTTCAAGTAGGCCGCAAAATAAGTGACAGCGCAGTATTCTAGCTTACATGTACTGATAGTTAGACTTAGGAATGTATGCAAGGAAATCTTGGTGAAATATGCAGAATTTATGCAAAATTTATTTGCATTATACATATTTATTTGTAAAACATGCGTGAAAATATATTTCAAATGTTTACAATGTTGTTAACTACTATTATTGTCGCTGAAACATTTTACGTATTTTTCAAAATTTTATCAACAGTAGGCTGCTCATTTCTTAAAAAAAAATTGGTGAACTATCCACCTGATAATTCCTTTGGCATCATCATCAATACTGTCCAGTACGGCTTTGTGTCGGTGATATAGCTATTATTAAATTTATCTAAACATTTTTTCTCCAAGTAGCCCGCAAAATAAGTGACTGCATTGGCCCATTGCGTTTCTTAAAAAAATTTTAATCATTTTAATTTCGAAAAAGATTTTTCCGGTGAAGCTGCCGAAACAGGTATTGTAAGAAAAATGAAACATGCTGTGATAATTTCACTGAAACTAGCGCAGGATGAATTTTTTTTTAGTAATATAAACTCAGTTAATTCCATAACGGAATTAATTTTCAAAATATCATTTCTAAAACAATGACGAAATTGAACTATCACATTAAAGGAATGTGCCGCCAGAGGAACGGCAGCATCCATATTTGCTGCATTGTCTATGACAATTGCGGAGATTTCATTTGATGTACCCTAATGCCAACCACTTAAGGCCAGTCCCCACGTTTTCTCAGCGGAATTTTCGCTCTATTTTCAAAATGTAATATCTCCGTTATTAACAGATCTATAGTTTTCAAATTTTAAATATATGTTGTCCATAACTTTCTTTATATAACGCAAGGGCAATTTTGTTAAAAACAGCTTGTGATCATATTATTTTTTTAATTTTAGTGAAATTTTTGCATAACGTATTTTTAAAAATCAATATCTCAATTATTAAATAAAATTTCAGAACACGGTTTTCAACACTGTTTTCAGCTTACAAAACTCCAGAAATCATACGAGACATATCGTCGATTTTATTTTTTAGAAACGATACACAGTTAAAAAAAGCGTATATCATGGAAGTTGCTAACTTTTATTTTTACTCTATCTCAGTCCCAACAAATAAAGTCAAAAATCGACCTCGTAGAATTTCTCAAGTTTTGCAAGCTGAAAACAGTGGTGACAACCCCGTTCCAAAATTTCCATAAATAACTGAAATATTGATTTTTAAAAATACGTTATGCAAAAATTTCACTAAAATTAAAAAAATAATATGATCACAAGCTGTTTTTAACAAAGTTGCCCTTGCGTTATATAAAGAAAGTTATGGACAACATATATTTAAAATTTGAAAACTATAGATCTGTTAATAACGGAGATATTACATTTTGAAAATAGAGCGAAAATTCCGCTGAGAAAACGTGGGGACTGGCCTTAGTCAAGTTGAAATATTGTCTGCCGCGTGCTTCTCTGGAAATTCGCTCTAAGTCAAAATGAACGATTACTAATAATCAACTTTTTCCTGAATTTTTTTAATGACATAATCTTTGTCTGCGTTATTAAGATTTTTCTCTCTGCAGAGGTCAACCAGTACGCAGCATTTTTAAAATTTTTGTTGCTGTATTGTTTAGATTTTATTTTCCAGACATGGATAACTCCTATATGTTTTGATAAATTTAGTTATACAATCAACAGATAAATTACGCCATTTTTTTTTAATAATATCAGTACTAACTCGATGAAACTGGGTTCCTCATCTTTTTCCTCAGAAAATAATTGTAATATACCTTCTGCTGCAGCTTGCATCAATCCATCTAAACATGGTGGTCCCGTAAGAACTTTTGTTTTATTCCTAACTTTATATAAACGTCGCAGCATTTCTTTAACCTCCGTCAAATTTTCTAAAACAGCGTTATTTTTATCTGAGAGAGCAGATTTATATGGATTAGATTCATGTAAATTTTGACAGTTTAAACAGTTAGAAACTTTATTCATAAAATCCACAAAATCTGCTGTATTTGCGGTACCTGGACTTGTTATTTCTTTTGTGGTAATAGCTGTTCGCATTGCTGTTGCCACGGAATGAGTAAACGTTTGAAGTGCTAATTTTACACTCACTTTTTGAAAAGGTTTTGGTCGAAATTGAGCTTGTCTTCGTTTTGTAGGTGCCCTACAATTTCTATTTTTTTTTTTTTACAATTTTATAAAAATCTATTATATAGCGGTCGATTCTCGAAGTCATTCGCAAAGATCCGAGTATCTATTAATTTTCAAATAAAATGCTTAAGATAACCCTCCGTGTATGTAGCAATCAATTT